AAATTCAAATCGATTAATTGTCAACTTTACAACTAATCGATTAATTCAATTTTACCAATTTTAAAATGATGAGCAGCATACATATCAGGATATCTGTAAAAATTAGGATATCTGTAAAAATTAACCAATCAGAATGCATTAATTACAGTAAAACCCAAATTCAGAAATAATGGATCTAAATCCTGATTCATTAAATGTGAATTGGTCCCGACCTGGAAGATTGACCTCTAAAAATATCTTTACTATCACAATGAGATACAGATTACCCATAACCATAACCGATTTTTTTCATAAGGACGATTTTCACTGTCACAGGTGTTGAAAGTTACGTTAGTCGGTACCATATTTACGCGAAATAAAACCCCTAGGAAGTTGTTTTGAAACACAATTTAAAGAGCTAGTAATTAATTTAGCCAAATGTAAACAATAATTGTGGCAAGATTGCAGATACTTATAATTTATAGCTTTTAAATATGGACCCCAAATTTTAGCATATGCTAATTTTAGCATAAGCTGCCGCAATTGTGTCCCCCCGGGGGGAGATACTGTATTTCTTAAACTTGCCCAATCTGTATTGAACGACCCGAACCAGATAACAATTACGTAGATTACGTAGAATGAAACTAATTGTTACAACATCCTTAACTACTCTAAAGGAAAAAAATAACGTTAATAAAAATTTTTGCTAGTTACTACTGGAAAATCAATTGAACTTCAATCCAGTGAAATCAATACTGAAACGTTCCAGTGAACAAACATTAACAAACAGTATGTAGGTACCCTCCCAAATATTGTGAACAATAACTACACGTGATAAAAAAAGTGTTTCTTTCCCTTGTAACAGATGTAGGATAGTGTTGCAAGAAATTTCTAAATTAGTAATTATGGTGCGTTTTAACGCAATTAAATCATCGTGTCCTACATTTTGGTTTATAATACTTATAATACACGTTTCTATTTTTTTTTTTTCATGAAACAAAAAAGAACTAAACTTTCTTTTGCAGCCATACTTTATTTATGAACTTTATAAGATTGAAGAAACATAAGAAATAAGAATAGTAACGAAATAACGCTTATAAAAATATAAAGAATAACACCTTGTTGAGACTATCAAGTAAGTATACACTGAACACAACTAACTTCATAGAGTACAGAATATATTAGTCTCGTGACAAATATATACACAAGAAAAAGCCACTTAATAATCTCAACATAATAACCCTTTTGTTCGCACGAACTCTTATTCTCTATAATAATTCATATGGACATCAATCCTCATGATACTTCGTCTAATGTCGACAGGACTTCGACCACAACACCCTCATACTTACAAAATTCTCCTATAATTGAATCTTCAACAACTTCAATAGGTAGTCCTCCTAACAATAATAGTGATTCTTCTCAACAAGCAGTTTCAATGCCAACTCCAGCCCTTCAAAGACAGTCGAGGTCTGCCGTTTTATCTTCGGTATTATCCTCTACACCAAACACTTCTTCGATTGCTACTACGTCTGTGAGGGCGACAGCTCCAGGTTCACGGCAGGTTCGACGGAATTGGTGGGGCTATATTATAGAAAACTTTAGATCTATTTCTAGAACTTCCAAAGTGTTGCTAATCATGTCCTTGATTTTGGTTGTTATTCAGGTATGTTTAAAATTGTGTATTTTATATATAAATTCTTTTTAATCGTTAAGGCCTTCGTTTAATCAAAAAAAAAAGCGAGTCGCTGACTAATATACTTTATATAAAAAAATTTAATGATAGGTTGTTGTCACAATTACGATTCTTGTGATATCAACACTACGAAATAGATCGTGCGACCGACCTCTTAACGTATTTCTAATACTGTACATTATTCGAGTGATAGTCGCATGCCCAGTAAACGTGTATTTACATTTAAATCCCAGAGATCATAGACGTAATGGACAAAATCAAAACGATAACAATGAACCAACAAGAAGGGATTCATGGATTGACCGGTGGGTTTTATTATCAAAATGTATAAAAAATGTGGTTTTTTTTTTTTTTCTTTTTATTCAACCTTTTATTCTAAAAAAAAAAAAAAAACAAACAAAAAAAATTTATATATCTTATTAACGGAATTTTTAGCTTTAAATCATTTTTGGATCTTTTCGCCACTCTTTGGTTTATTATCGGAAATTACCTTCTTTTCACTACTCAAAATTGCGCAACCAAAGCACCTGAAATTTTCTTTCTCTCTTTAACATGGGTTATCCTTGGATACATTGTAATCACTATCCCTATATTATTGTGTCTTGCTGTTATATTTTGTTTACCATGCGTATTAGTTGCAATGAGGATTCTTCATGTTGGTGATGCAGTTGGAATTAGCGGTGCTAGTGATGATGTAATTCAAAAAATTCCATTGGTTAAATTTAAAGCACTTCATGGAGATTCTAATATAACAGAAAATCAAACAACTCCTGATACCATTGTATCAGTGTCACAGACAGAATCAAGTCATCAACCAATACCTTCAACGACTAAAAAATCTCGATTTAAAAATATATTCGGAAGCAAAAGCAAGAGCTCTAGTCATAATTTACCAGTCGCACAACAAACTCTTACCATTCCTAACCCTGATGATGCAGTCTGTTCTATCTGTCTTTCAGCGTATGAAGATGGAGATGAACTCCGGAATTTATGGTGTTCACATCATTTCCATAAGGACTGTGTTGACGAGTGGTTATCTTTGAATAGACGATGTCCGATGTGTCGTATGGATGTTGTTGAAATGGCTAACGAACGAAACAATAAAAAGGGAAAAAATACAAATAATAACAATGACAATAATAATGTCGGTGAAGGAAGTAGTAATACTGATGGTCGGGTTGATGGTTCTAGTCAAGGTGAATCAGCCGAAGATGCGGCTCATAAAGTATAAGATTTTCTTATTGATAGTTATATTTGGTATGTGATAAAATAATTCTTGAATTTTTCTACCCAACCCTCTCGTGTAAAGTTTTCTCTTCTGTTTATCATTATGTTTATGTTTTAATATTATTTTGCATAAAAGAAAATTTTTACAATGTGTAATTATTTAATTTTTTAACTGGGTTTTTCTAAAAAAAAAAAAAAAATATATATATATGGACTTTGAACAAAAAAAAAACACACACACACAGATTGTAAATCTTTTTTTATAAAAATAATTTTTATTTTTCATATTTAAATTGATTCATTTGATAGTATTTCACAGTCTTTAAAATGTCATAGTAAAGTTAGGAAGTAACTTAACAGCTGATTGACATAATTAATAATGCACATACCTGTAAAATTTATGTTAAAAAACCATTGTATTTACCTTCAATAATTTCATTCGGAAGATGACTGAGCCTTTGCTAATCTTTCAGCTACAGTTTTCCAATTAACCACGTTCCAAATAGCTTTCAAGTAGTCAGGCCTAACATTTTTGTATTGCAAGTAGTAGGCCTGAATAAATATAACATTAGTAATAAACAACCTTAGTATTTTTTTTTTTTAAAAAAAAAATTCATTAAAACAAATTAGTATGCATACGTGTTCCCAGACATCAATACCAAGGAGAGGTACATGGGCTAATATTTGAAAAAAAAGCATAAATTTGTAAATAGACAATTAAGACTTAATAACGAGTCTTAAACCTTACTCGTTAAAGGATCTTGATTCGGAAGTGTCACAATTTCAACACGTTTACTACTCTTGTTATAACCCTATGAAAAGGAATATTTTTCGTTTATTAAAAAAGAAATTGTACTACTACTATAAAAAATAGAACTATATAAAAATATATTAATGCGCACCAACCAACCCCAGCCCGATCCTATAAATTTAAAATTTTAAATCGCAAGTATATATAAACGTGAAATAGTAACAAATTTTTTAAAAAATAATTATGCAAACCTTGAACTGCTGCAGTTATTGTGTTAAATTTGCTAATAAAATCATCAAGAGAACCAAATTCTTTTTGGATAGCGCTAAGAAGAGCTCCTATAAAAAATTAAATTTTCAGACGCGTTTTTAATATTCATTGAATGAACCGTCATATTTGTTAACGGTATCGACACACACCTTTAGGAGGTTCACCGCCGCCTTCTTTAGTGGGAGCGAGATTTGTCCAAAATAAGGAATGATTAACATGACCTAAAAAAAATTTATCGCATCTGTTTTTTTTTTTACTGATTACCAATATAAATTCGTTATAAATCATAAATTTTGACATATATTACCTCCACCATTGAATTTTAATGCTGATTGTAAAGCGATTTGTCCAGGAACATCTTGTTCTTTAAGTGCTTGTTCAAATTTTTCTTCGGCCAAGTTAAGTCCATTAACATATGCTTGATGATGTTTATCATGATGAATTCGCATTATTTCGGCCGAAATATAGGGTTCAAGGGCCTTTTTACAAATATAATCGAACGCAGATAAAACTATAAATAAATTATTTCACAAAAATTTTGCTATATAACTAGCAAAACTCTTATCCAAAAGGAAAAAATTGAATATTTACACCGTAGTCATATGGGAGATCTGGAAGTGTATACTTTGACCTCGAAATATAGTTGTTAGGTGAAGCTATTTTTTTAAACGGCAAAGGGCGAACGGTAGAAGACGAAGGGCTAAGCCTCTTGGCGAAAGACGAAACCCCAGGTGAAAGGTGAAACCCCCTGCTAAGAACGAAACCTCTTGAAAAAGACATCTCTAAGTTCTAAATAAAAACAAAAAAGAAAGATTTTTATTGAAGAACAACATGACAGCTAAAAAAAAAAAAAAAACAAATTTAAGGAATTTTTAAATTTACTTGGAACGTTTTAGATATCAGCTGATATCGTAGTATGGGAAGGGATGAGAAATTTTTAAATTTCATTTACTGAATTTGATTTAGATATTTTTTTTAATCCGCAGAATTTCATCATTATGCATGTGAACGATCTGTACAACCTTAACTTAATATTTGTATATAAATATTTATAAACGTACACACTCAATAAATGAGGCCGTTGTCGTATAGTGGCAGTACATCGCGTTGTGGCCGCGCTAGCCCAGGTTCGATTCCTGGCAACGGCAGATTTTAATAATAAAAATTATTAAGATCCAAAATCCGTTTTTTTTTTCTTATTTTTGTATTTATCATCGATCGTTATTTTTTTAATTCGTGATTTATCGATTAAATCGAAATTGAATCAATCGGCTAATAATAAAACATTGTAAATAAATAAATAAATAACCCTTTTGAACTTTTAAATAAAATAGAATTATCAGGTTGATAACCAATATTTAATATAATTAAATGATATATATAGAAGTTAATTCCTTATTATATTTTATACTTACATCATCATGAGATCTAATCATTTTATCTATAAAAAAAAAAAAATATATATATATATCTGATATCGCCTGGGAAGATGATGTAAGGGATGAATTATAAAATAAGAATATATTAATAATATTAAAATATTTTAACGAAAAAAACGAATTGAAATATCTCGCGACCCAGTGATCGGATTTGAGGTATGGTACTGGTGGTCTGTACTAAAAAACGTAGTATTGTATAACTTTTAAAAACGAATCAACTTTTATAGAACAATACGGTATTTTTTATAAACTATTTATTATTAAGAACAAAATTACCGGCCGGTATCAGTTAGTTTTTTTATAAATACAATGGATAACACTTATAGCCAACAAATATTATAAATAGATATATGGGGTCTGTTCCTTGAAAATCAAGTTTTGATCATATGATTTACTATGTCCCGTAAGGTCATTTTCAAGGAACAGACCCCATATACCAATTTTTTTTAGCTACAGTGTAACATACAGTAAGTGACCAATGAAAACCGATATTTTATTAAATTTTGTTAATAAATTTAAAATTCTGTTACCTTTTTTTTTTTTTTTATACTATGTGTCAAAATTTAAACTATATGCTATATATAAATTTAAATTAATATCAAGTATAAATAGTTATTAGAATTTTTTTTATGAGTTGATAGTTTAAACAAAAGCTACGTATAAAATATACAAAAATTTTTTATTAGTCTATCTTTTTTAAAAATTTTATAGTTAAAAGTCAATAGCTTTTTTTAACTATTCTAGTATTTAACTGTTAAATTCATTTAATATAAAACGTACCTATGATGGTTTTTGCATCTATTATAGGTTTTTCTCAATTTTTAAAAGTTTTTTTTATAAAATTTTTATTCAAATTTTTTATGTTAGGGTTAGGATTGGGGTTTGGGATTTGAAAGAGTTTTTAGTGCATTTTTACTTAGAGCAAATTAATTACCGGTAATTAATTAGTTTTTGAAATAATGTAACGTAGGTGGTAAAACACCATAGGTGCGTTTTATTAAAAGTCAAATTTATTTTATTGAATCAAAAATGGTAAATGTTTATCCGGTAGCTTACGATAGTGCTTGCAAAATAACGAGTTATTTGGCGGTGATCACATCATCTGTCAAATAACTTAGTTATTTGGCAGTTTATGTAATCACGGCCAAAAACTCGGGTCATTTAGCAAGCACAATCGTTGTAAACCACCGGATAACACCGTTATAGTATGCTACTCAGCAAATAACTCGTTTATCTGGCAGCGAATTTAATATGTGGCTCAGAAGTTGACATATTAAGTTCACAGACAGATGATGAATTATTTTGCAAATAATTCTAATGGCTACTTCACTATATATCCAATATTATTAAGCATTAAACAAATAATAATAATAATAATGATGACAAATTATAGAGCTTATATTGCTCTATAAAGTTAACAATCAATTTTTTTTAAAAAAAACTCTTGTATAAAAAGTTAATGATTTAAAAAATTGAAAAATTGAAACTTGTCTAGTATAGGCTACCACCACCATACCATCCGATTCCTCTGACGAGCTTTAGATATCATAATTTGATCCAATTCATCATGATACTCATTTTCGTCATTGCTCTTTTATTATACCTTTCAGATATAGATATGTAGTGATTGGATTCGAGCGGTTTTTACCATTACCGTATAAGCTACCAAAATTTTGGGTGTTTTTACTAAAAGAGGGGGGTAGCTTCTATTAGGTCCAATTTTATTGTTAAAACATAATAACTTCTTGAATCCAAAATCGAGAGGGTGGCTTTTATTCGGGATGGCTTTTATTCGGTCATACACGGTATATTCTTAGTGGGAAGAATAGAATGATACAAAATTATTCCAACCCGACTACTGAATCCCGATATAATTTCGATTCGTCGGAATACTCACTTCTAAAAGTTCAAAATTCTCGTGTAACGTATAACCTTGACCATTATCATCCTAAAACGGTTTGTTATACAGTCTAACCTCTTTATAATCACACCATCGTGATTATAGTGACTTTTCATGAACATGTGCTTATATAGAGGTTTTTTTTTCTTTTATAATATATAGTTGGTTTTAAAATAGACGTGCTTATAGAGGGTGACTATAGGGAGGTAAGACTGTACTCAAAAGCTATATATATTTTAATATATATATATATATCGGTACATTAAAATATATATAAACTGTATGAAAATCATGAAAATGGACAATCTAAAAACGGCAATAGACATCAAGAAAAAGGTTATTTCATAGTCAAATTGTTACATAATGAAAAATATATTTTATGCATTTGGGCGAGTCATGTAATGTGACCTGAATTATGACATTTAATTTCTTAATATTTGGCCAAATCCCAAATTTCATTGTATATTACGTAATTGAAAACTGCAGTATGGTAATAGATAATTAATTAACCTAGATTTTAGTACCTCGAATTGACCAGATGAATAAAATAGTGATAGATAATATATAGTGTAAAAGTAAATTTTAATTGCTATAAATTTATTTATAATTGAAAAAAATGATGATTTCAAGACATATCAAAATATATTTATTTTAATTATTAGATGAAATATTAATTTTCAAAATAGTTAACCAATTAAATACTTGTAGATTATTCTAAAAAAGATTTGGATTATAATACAGGTTTTAACAAGATAATATTGCTATGTTTGGTAAATACCAAATTGGAAATTTACCTGACTAAATACTGGTGACAAGAAGTAGATACACATGTACATAACTTTGCATTTTATTGGCTAACATACATTTGTTCCAGTAGAAAAACCTTCCAGCGAGAATTTATCACTGGAGTCACTGGAATATTGGGAAAATCTGGTCATCCTGTGGAGTTCCAGCTTCCAGTCAACATCATTGTGTATCAAACTACCACCAACTTTGTTTGTTACTATATCCATTTGGAGTACCATAATTTCCGCCACCATAACTGCCACCGTAATTTCCTCCACCATAATAATAACTAATTGAAAGGAAAAAAAAAAAAAAAAAAGGTTAATTCATAAAAGTTTTTTATTAAAAAAAAAAAAACAATCTGTATTTCCAGAATAAAATTTTCTAAAATTTAATTTATTAGCGTTTGTATCAAGGTAATAGATAGAAGATTATTCAAGGACATATAAATGTTGCTTGAAAAAGTTATGCTGATATTATTGATATTTTCAGGTATGATATATTATCATTTGTCGTGGGATATGTTGAAATAATGTTCAAAGATTTAATAATAAATATTACTTACTCATTACCACTACTTCCATAGCTTCCTCTCTCACTGCTGCTGCCAAATTTACGATAATCACGACTTTGACCACGACCTCGACCACGACTATTACCACCACTACGATAAGTTGAACTAGTTTCCCTTGCAATAGTTTCCAACCAGGAAGGAATTTCTTGGTTGGCTTCCTTTAACAAATCAATCAATTCTCTAACAATCCCTTTGTTACCACGGTTGAAGAATGCTGTTGATATTCCAACGTTACCAGCGCGTCCAGTACGACCAATTCGATGTACATAATCATCAATATCTGTGGGTAAATCATAATTAATGACATGGGTAACATTAACAATGTCCAATCCACGGGCAGCTACAGCAGTCGCCACCATAATAGGTGTACGACCTGTGCGGAAAGATTCTAAAGCGCGTTCACGCTCACGCTGTGATCGATCACCATGAATTGATGTCGCAGGAAAACCTGATTGAATAAGAAATTCTGATAACATATCAGCCATTCGTTTTGTTTCAACAAAGATCAACGTAAGTCCACGATCAGAATCTGGTTGAGCATGTAGAATATCTAATAACACTGATCGTTTATCATCATCTTCAACATATTCAATTTTTTGCGTGATATTTTCGCTTGTACTACCAACACGACCAACACTCAAGAAAACATAGTCCTTCAAAAAATCACGAGCAAGAACTTGAATATCTCGAGGAAAAGTGGCGCTAAACATAAGTGTTTGCCTATCATTAACACCGGGCATATCTATAATAAAATAATTTATTAAAAGAGAATTTAAAGACTTTTTATAATCTCAATATTAAATATAAAACAAAAAAAAAAAAATGTTACCTTCACTTTCCACTATACGACGAATCTGAGGTTCAAATCCCATATCTAACATACGGTCAGCTTCATCAAGAACTAAATATCGTGTTTGGGATAAACTTACTCGACCACGTTCAATTAAATCAACAAGTCGTCCAGGAGTGGCAGTCAAAAGATCACATCCACGGTCAATTTGTCTCAATTGAGAAGAAATATCGGCACCACCATAAACAACACATGGTCTTACCCAAGAACGATAGGCAAATTTTCGAGCTTCATCATAAATTTGCATAGCTAATTCACGTGTTGGTGCAAGGACCAATGCAACCGGATAAGCTTTACGACTACGGTACATGCCACGCTGTTGTTCGGTTGGAGGAGGTGAAGGGCCATGTTTAAAAAGTTCTGATAAAATTGGGAATAAAAAACCCCCAGTTTTTCCAGAACCCGTTTGTGCACAAGCCATAAGATCACGACCAGCTGTGACAATTGGTATTGAATATTTTTGAACCGGAGTAGGAACGGTGTAACGAGCTAAGTCAATATTAGAAAGGAGATGTTCATCCAAAGGAGGACAAGTGAACTATATATAATATAAAGGTGAAAAAAAAATAATAAATTAAAAAAAATTATTATTGAAATCA